AATTTTAGCTCGCAACTCAAAGCAAAAAATCGGCCGAGAGACGGCTCATATCTCGAAAAACTCGTTAGTCGGGACACTCGTAAGTCAAGGCCCCACTGTAGTGAGGAACCCACAGAGTACAAGAGACTTAAGGGCCACATCAACTTATCACAACCTCTGGCTTTATTTGGATCCTGATCCAAAGAAGCAGTAGAAAGAAATCATAAGACAAACAGGCAACATCAATAGCACCTGAATATTTGATAGTGGAAGGAGTTTAGAGACAGGAGGCAGTGTTAGGGAAGGGGGCCCATGGGAGAGGAATGCATCCGTGATGGGCAGAGACGCTCCAAGCCGTCAGGTTGTTTATCTCACATACACTGAGGATGGAGGAATGTTACAAGAGAAGGGGAAGAAGAAGAGGGGGCACTGGTGAGCTTTGAACTTTGAAACTGATACCATACAGGGGAAAGGGGGAAAGTGGCCAATTAGGAAAGCACGGGGGACATGAATTAAGGAAGGGTCCAATTAGAAAGTGGAATGAACAAAGAGCTGTGAGCATTTATAAACCCATAGACAAAGAGGCTCACTAGATTGGTTTTTTTCCCATTTTAGAGAGCGAGCAGGTTCTTTCCCTTTGGGGACCCCCTTCCAGAGGGAGTTCGTATATGCTTGCAATAAACTTCTACACCGTTGCTTAAAAGTCTTTTAGTCCGTGAATTTATTCTTCAACGTCGTGAGACAAGAACCCACAAGGAGAGTCCATTTGCAATTCCACGTATCAATAGCATTAAGAATTACTGTTATTATTTTTAGGTGTGATAATGCTATCGTGGCATAATTTTTTTAAATATATATTTTATTGATTTTTTACAGAGAGGAAGGGAGAGGGATAGAGAGTTAGAAACATCGATCAGCTGCCTCCTGCACACTCCCCACCGGGGATGTGCCCGCAACCAAGGTACATGCCCTTGACCGGAATCGAACCTGGGACCCTTGAGTCCGCAGGCTGACGCTCTAGCCACTGAGCCAAACCGGTTAGGGCAACATGGCATAATTTTTAAAGAGCCTTTATCTCTAGAAATATATGCTGAAATGTTCAGTTAAGGAAATAGGACATCTGGGATTTGCTTCAAAATAATTGGTGGCCAGTGGGTGGAGCCAGAGGTGGGTAATAGGTGAATCAAGGCTGGCACTGTGTTGTGTGGGGTTCGGTACACAATTCTCTACCTTCCAGGTTTGAAAATGTCCATAATAATAAGTTTGGGGGTTTTCAGTACTGTGTGCAGGTGAGTCAAATCAGAATTCTGACTCCTACTTGTGGCCCCTCCCCCGGGTGCTCACCATCAGGCCCAACCTTGGGCAGGTACAGAGTAGGTGCCTGAATCCAGAGACTAGTCTTGGCTAAAGAACAAAGCACAGCTGGAAACTGTGCCTAGAAGAAAAGGCCCTTAGGCAGCACTCTAACTGTTACTTTGTGTGTAATATAGTTTTACTTCCTTGCTCTTTGTTTTCAAAATCAATGGTTAAGATCATGTTCTGCTTCTTTCACCCAGTCAAAACCACAATTACAAATACTGCTGTTTGCTCCAAGGTGTCCCACAATCCATTAGTCCTCAGGCCAGCTGGGAACCCAGTGCTACTTCCCTTCCCTCTCCTGCACACAGGCGCGCAGCTGCCATCCCACACGGAGTGCTTCCTTCAGAGGCAAGGCCCTATCCCCATTGGCCAGGGCCTCCCACCGCCAGCTTCTGCAGCAGCCTGCTGCTCCCTCCCATGGAGTACCTGCCAAGGGCCCCAGGATGCCCCTGCCCTTCCTTCTGCATGTCTGTAAAATGACTTTCATAGCCAACACATTCGGCCACTGATTCCCAGAGAGATCCCAAACAGTAACACTAGTTTTGCAGTTAACACCCGGAGCAGCCCTCCAATTAGTCCTGTTCAGTCAAGACTGTTTATATGGACTGTCATTAGGGCTCTTTGGCAGGGCAGGGGCCCAACCTGGGGACCCACGGGGAGAGCTAAGTCTCCAGAGCAGAGCAGCTGGTAGAGGGAGAGTTGTTTACTGAACTATTCATTCATTCATTCCGTAAACACTAAGCACCTGCTTTATACCAGTCTCTTTAAAATGGAAGAAAAGGCCTTTCTTTTTCTTTGCTGTGACCATCCACAGTTTGAGAAGCACCTGGTAATTAAACCCCAAGATTGTTAGCTCCTCAGCTCCTCTGTTCAAACTGCAAGACAAGTTACTCTCAAGGCTAAATTCTTACATACATCTCCTCCCTGCTGGTTTTACAACCCAGGAATAGTTAATAGAAAGTTCCCTTCTGCCCTCCTCTTCAAATAAGCCTCTTTAAACTCTTCCTAACTTTTGCTCTAAGAATGTGTTACAGGCTTGAAAAAACTACTGATAAGACACCTCCCTAGGACATCTGCCCGGACCATGTCCTGCAGAACTAACAAAGACAATCCCTCTGATGGCTGCTCAATTTCACCTAGCAACAGCAGCCGCTGGAAAATCCCCCTCCCTCCCTTGTATGGTTTTTGTTCTTTGCCTTTTGTATTGATTAGCAACTCACTGGCCCTTTCCCTTCAGGGAAAGTAAACTAAACTATCTCTCCTCTCAGTTGTGAATTCTTTCACAGACTGCGGTCACCGGCCAAAATCCTGACACCTGCCCTCTAGGAATGTTCAAGAGAAGATAATAGACATTAACAAAAGCCAATCTAGTCAACTTTCTTCTTCTTTTTTTTAAATATATTTTTATTTATTTCAGAGAGGAAGAGAGAGGGAGAAATAGAAACATCAATGATGAGAGAGAATCATTGATCGGCTGCCTCCTGCACATCCCCTACTGGGGATCAAGCCCACAACCCAGGCATGTGCCCTTGACTGGAATCAAACCTGGGACCCTTCAGTCTGCAGGCCAACGCTCTATCCACTGAGCCAAACCAGCTAGGGCTACTCAACTTTCATTCAACATTTACTGAAACGGATTTTTTACTAAGTCCTTCCCTATACTTGGGGCACAATGGTGTGTGAGACAGATAACATTCCATAGAAAGACCACAAACTAACAAATCAGTAGGCACAAGCAAGGCCAGGGGGTGGTAAGTGACCTGATAATGTGACGAGTAGCAGCGGGAGTGAGGGCCATCAGACAGAGGGCTTAGAGAAAGGTTCTCTGAAGAGATGCCATTGGAGCTTAGTGCGTTCCCTTCCCTCAGCACCTGGCCACACCCCAGGACCAGTCCAACGTCGCAGCCAGTGCCCTCCCAGCCACTCACCTGGTAGGCCCGAATCAGGGACTGCACAGCCAGGTGGTCCTCCACCAGCTTGCTGGTCTTGGTCCGGCTTGAGGCGGCTGGCCTGCTCTCAGGTACAACAGAGGGGGCCTGTGGCTGAGGCGGGCCACACGACGCTTCCTCGTTGACTTTCCGGAAGAAGCTGTCCCAGGACTGGGCAGGGGTAGAAGCAAGAAAACAGCCAGGTCAGGGTCTGGGAGGAGTGGGGTGGTCCTGGTTTGGGCTCTGGGAACGTTGGGTGTCCTTCACCACCACAGCTCTCAGAGCCCTCCCAGGACCGTGCCAAGAAGACCCCTCAAAACCAGGCCAGGCCCTCCACCCAGAGCCAAGAGCCCTCCGGGACCCAGGCTGGCAGAGGGGTGGGGGCTAAAACTTGTGGGCCAGAGGCTTCCGATGTGAAAGGAGCTTCTAGCCCCGAGGGAACATGTTCTCACACACGTGGTGGGTCGGAGGAGGCCTTTGCAGGGGGCAACTAGGCAGCAGGCCCTCCACATTGTCAATGTATCTAGCTTTCGAGCTAGCAACCACTGCTGGTAGTTTACTCTACAGATGTACTTGTACAGGTGTGCCTAGATGTATGGACAGGATGTTCCCTGCAGGACTGTTCATAAAAATGACAACATAAAAACAATCCAAGTGGTAAGCAACAGCAAACTGGTTAAATAAATGATGAAACGTTTAGATGCTGGAAGATTATGCAGTCCTCACAGAATCTTTGCTACTATTTGTGCAGAAGCAAAAAACAGATATGCATATGCACAAGCACCTCCGTGTTCCAGCCCAGTGATCTGCAACCTTCATCTCATGGCACATAAACCAATTACCAAAATTCTTCAGCACGCCAAAAAATATATTTTTTGCCAATCTGACAAAAAAAATACATATAATTTTGATTCATTCACATAGGATGGCGATTGTTTTGTTGGCTGTTGTCATTTTTTTTATTTGACAATCTAAGGGAAAAGAGGTCATTGCCCCTGACTAATCAGATACTGTACATTTTAAAAATTCTTGCAGCACACTGGTTAAAAATCACTGTTCTAGCAGAACACATAAAAGGGTTTTCCTCCCATACACTGTGGGAGAACAGGGTAGTACAAGCCCTATCGGAAGCAATTTGTCAAAACCCATCAGTATTACATAGACAAATAATCTTTGGCCCAACAATTCCACTTTGGGGAACTTCAACAGATAGCTGCACACACGCAAGAGGAGAAATGTTCAAGATTATACACTGCAGCACTGATGGTGACAACCAGAGAAAGGGAAAGAGCCAGATGTCTGTCAGTGGGTGGGAGTGGCACATCCATACAATGGAACAGTATGCAGCTGGGAAAAAAGAATGAGGCTCTGGATGCACTGACATGGAAAGAGCTTGGACATGTATGCTAAGTGAAAAAAGCCTGGAGCAAACAGCGCCTGTTGCATGTACCTTTGTACAAAGAGGAAATCTAAAATTATGTTGCAATAAGTTTACCTCAGGGGTCCTCAAACTACGGCCCGCGGGCCACATGCAAATACAAATATTGTATTAGTTCCCGTTTTGTTTTTTTTACTTCAAAATAAGATATGTGCAGTGTGCATAGCAATTTGTTCATAGTTTTTTTTTAAACTATAGTCCGGCCCTCCAACGGTCTGAGGGACAGTGAACTGGCCCCCTGCTTAAAAAGTTTGAGGACCCCTGGTTTACCTGAAGAAATTCTCTGCAAGACAACAGAAGAAGCTAAGACTAAACTGAAACTGACGAGGGGGAGCTGAGCCGATGGATGGACTGGGAGGGAGCCTTACTGTCTAGGGTCATACTCCTTGTTTCCGGACCATGTGAGTCTGAGTAAAGAGAAGGAAGAGGAGCTTCACTTTTCAGGTTCACCTGTCATCTGATTTTTTTGTTTTTACCATCAACAGGTATTTATTTTGTTGACTCAATACATACCTAAACACGTGTACCCTTAACTACATTACAAAGGGCCCTGTGCAGACAGCCCAGCCTGACCGAGGGGCAGGGGCAGGTCTCGGGCCAGGTGTGGCTGAGCAGGGCATTCTCGGGACTTCCAGGCCAGCCCACCCCCCACTAGTTGGTTCCACAACAGGAAGGAAGCGAATTTCCTCACCAAAGGAGGACAAGGCTTTCACACAGGGGTGACGAAGGACCCGGAAGACAGTGAAACCTGCCCGAGATCACACAGCTGGCAAGTTGCTTCTCCCCACTCCCCTCCGGCCCCAGGAGCTGCCCTCCCACCGCGGGCAGGGTGGGTGCCAACCTTGTGGACACTCTGGGGGTTTTCCAACCAGGCGAAGTACATCTCCTCCATGTAGCTGGAGCCTCCTCCATCTCTGCTGCCTGGGAAGGCGGTCCGTGGCCCAGACGACCTGCTGCGCCAGCTGGACATCTGGACGTCATGTGGGGCCAGAAGCCTCGCGGCCTGTACCCCCAGCCGGGATGTCAGCAATCTCAGCTGACTCATTCTGGACACAGGCAATGAGGGAGAGGCATAAACCACAGGCCAGGGCAAAGGGGGCTCTGGCAGCCACTCTCACTCATCTGGCATTTGTTGGTCCTACTAGGCAGGGGGCCCTGGGGCCAGCTGTGACGATATAGAGAAGGAGAACGCTGCCAGCCCTCCTGGGTTCACTGCCAGTGGAGATCCCAGCACAATAAATCCACCAACAACTTTCAGCATCCCTGAGCCCTGGTCCTGCTGTGCCCACCCACCCCAACCTGTGCTCCCTCCCGGTCGTCCCCCCAGCCTGGTGCAAAGACAAGTACAACCCAGGCCCTGCCTCAGGGAGCACCCAGACCAGGTCCTGCAGCCCATGAAAAGGCATAAGGCACATGCATGCAGAACCCCCAATAAGGAGTAGGCTACGAGGCTGGCCACCCAGGAACTGAAGCAGGGGAGTCCTCCAGGGGCAGGGTGTGCTATATCTGGTCAGTAAAAAGCCAGAAAAAAGGGGTCTGACTGCACTGCAATATATCAGGAGGCCCCTGGCACATCTGGATCTCTGGTGATTATAACCAAAAGTCACCAGTGACTTCCTGTAACTGCAGTGCTGACTCAGCGCACCATCCCAGGCCAGAAGGCCAATGACATGGGCCTGAACTGCCCCACTTCACAGCAGGGAGGACTGAGGCTCAGAGAAGGGAAGGGCATGGGACCAGTGGAGGGTAGACCAGCAGGCCCCACGCCCATCTTAGCTGGAGCCACTCTCTGGCTCTTGTATCCTTCCCAGAGCTTATACTCAGCACCAATGTCACTCCAAACATTTAACAGCTCAGAGGGTCATAAAGGCCGGAAGCCCATCCCGATGGAGAGAAACGAGTACCTGGAGCTCATCTCACCCCTATTACGTCACCTGCCCTTTCCCAGGGGAAATTCCTGAGTAACAGTGGGAGCTTCTTCCACCCTCAGAGGACAGAAGTTCTAAGAGCTTCCTCCGACCCTGAAGAGCCTCAGGGGTCCCTACCAAAGCAAGCCGAGGGTGGACAAGGCCCACTGAGGCTCCTGCTGCCCCTGACCTCCTGTCCCCCAACCCCCACAACTATGAGCAGAGCTGCTCCCCTGCCCCAGCCCAGCACTGCCTGGACATAGAACAGCTTCCCCTGAACACTTGCTAATGCTCTTCTGCCCAGAGCACCCCAACCTGTGAGCAGGGCCCAGCACTAGAGCCACCCCACCAGGGACAGTGTAAGCAGGAAGGGCCAGGCTCCCATATACAACTCAGGCCCCGAAAATGTGCCTTCTGAGCATAACTGGCTCCCAGTCCTGCCTGAGCATGGCCCTGAGCCAATAGGCCTTTGGCCTGGTGTGCTCTCCTGCTCCATCAGCTTAACCAAGTCACCAGAACCATCAGGCTGGGCCCTTCTACAAAAAGTCAGGCCCCAAGGCAGGACGGAGTACAGCCCTCCCAGCCTGCTTCCTCCACCTCTCCCTCCAAACTCACATGAGCCAAAGAGAAGGAGAGATGGTCTCCTCAAGCAAGGGAAAGTGGGCTCCTCAGGCAACCAGTAGTCAGTCTAAACAGAAGAAAATTAAAAAGCAAAAATATACTCCAGTGCAAGAAGGAAGGTGAGATCAGCTGGAACCTGAGCACCAAGTGCCCCAAACTTCCTTCCCACATGCTCAGCCCCTGAAGCTTCGGACCAGATGCCCAGCCCCACCAGCCAGTGATGCCACCCTACGCGAAGGCCACTAGGGGCTGGCTCTCCCTGGAGCAGCACCTCTTCAAGTGCAGAGTAGAGCTCAAGGCCCAGGGTCCCAACCACTGCTCTACTTCTGACCCCCCCCTGGGGCCTGAGCAAACACAAGGCTGCCCCGGCCCAGGAGCCACTGGCCCAGGAGCTGCTGGCCTGGGATGTCCGAGAATCTAAACAACCCACAAAGCTCTGCCATCCCAAACCAAGACCATCCATCACGGGAATAAAATAAGAGCACACAATAAGCACTGATTCTGGAGCAGGCACTCTGCCCATTTAACCCTCTCAACAATCTCATAAAGTGGGCACCAGGATTAGCCCCCTTTTATAAACAGGGAAACTGAGGCACAGAGAGGCTAAGCTGGTGAGTGATAGGGCTCTGTGTGGTTCCAGAGCCTGCACCCTCCTCACTGTGGAGTCAAGATATAAACCCTGATTTTGTTGGGACAACGCATTTTCCGCAGGCTGCAGCCCGGGGCACTCTGCCAGCACAGGGGAATGGGACGGCTCCAGGGAACAGTGACAAAGCCTGGCTGTACCCAGCCAGCTCGGCTCAGGAACACTGTGTTTTACAAACAATGAACTGTCTGGGCCAGCCACTGGACACTGCTGTGGCCTTCACCCGCCTGGCAGGAGGGCATTCAGCCAGCCACCCCTGCCCATCCCAGCAGGGCTTGAGGACCCAGGAGCCCTGGAGGACAGGACAAAGCCAACCTCAGTATCTGGAGCCAGAGCCCCCTGCCCATCCTGCCGGGTTCTCCCTACACAGGTGAAAGCAGGAGCAGAGTCGGTCAGCCCCCTGCACACCCCCACCCCGCCCAGCTCCCAGGGCACTACCAGCAGGTTGCTCTGGGCAGCTCCTGGAATAGGGGGTGGGGGGTACCAGGTCTCTTCTCTAGGGAAAAGGTCAGTACCATCCCCACTCCCAGCCCCAGAACAATCACAACTGCAGACTTCCTCAACCACTAGCCCTCACACACTAGGCCCTGTCTGCACTGCCCAGGTGAGGACTGCTCTGCCATCCTCCGTAGAAATCTGTTAACAGGATCCCAAGAGGGGAAGGGCCCTCCCCCAGACATTGACTCTGGGCAGCAGAGCCTGCACTCACATTCTGAGAACCGGGTGGGCTTTTCGCAGGAATAAACCCCAACACTAGTTTGCTGAACCCAAAAGAAGGCCCGGGAGGCAGACTCCAAGGTGGGAAGGCAGGGTATGCTTATTTACTTGGCAGAGATGAAGGGCCGGAGCTAAAGCCCAGAGTTGGGCAAAGTACAAAAATAGATGGGCCAGTTCCAGTGAGCTAAGGCCAGCGTGGGGAGGAGCTGCAGGGCAGTCCGCAGCGGAGGGGTGTCAGGTGGGGCCCTTGGGGTCTGGTTAATTAATGCCCATTGCACCCTGCAGGGACCTCTGAGTAAACCCATCCCCCTCCTCCCTCATCTCCCTGAGAGTGGTTGAATCACTTCCCAGGTTGGCTGTGACGTCAGGCCAGTCTTGCCTCTCTCAGGGCCTCAGTTTCCCCATCTGTGAACGGACAACAGTGGTTAAAACCGTCTGTAAGGCCTCTGCTACCACGAGATCCTGAGGCTATGAAGCCGACACCGGACCGCCTAGCACAAAAGGCGGGCCCCTCCCCATTTTAGTGTGGCTCCGCAGTTCCGGCCCTTGAAGGGACTAAGAGTAGCAGGCCCTGCACCGACCACAGGACAGTCTGTAGTTTTCGAGCTGGAGAACCCCAGCTGATGCCTGAAACCCCACCATTAGTGCGTCACTCCTGCACGCAGAACACTGCACTCGCAGGGTCGGACCTGCGCAGAGGGCTGGGAGTCCTAGGGAGCCGCGATCAGCCAAGGGCGAAGCCAAGGTCACGCTCCTTCCCCCTCCCTGGTTCCCCCGCGGGGCCCCGTAAGACTGCGGGCAGCAGCTCCCAAGGACCCGGGAACGGGGAGCAGAGGGGCCGCCCCCAAGACGGCGGGAGAAAGGGCAAAAGGACCCAGAAGGGAGGGGCCGCCGCGCTCACCCGGCCGGCGGGTTCCGC